TCTTCTCCAGCCTTATGTAAGCACATGTGGCCAGAACAACTGCTTTTTATAGAGGTTCTCCCTCCTTTTTGGAGACTGTTTTACAAAATGTGTCTCTTTTGGGGGATTTCTTTTGGTGAATACTGACCAAACATAAAACGTTTTATTTTACATTAAACCTGAAAAGCATCAAATGCCCCCCCCCCCCCCTTTTTTTTTTCATGGATAATTTTAGTTTTGTCAATGTACCCTGCATTTGGGTTTTGTACCTTTGGGGCTACCGTATTTCATACTTATACCAAAGGGAATATATGCCACAATCCCCCTTTGGGAAAATACATTCTTAACAAGGGACACGATGTCCCTCTGGAAAGCAGGAAAGTTCTGAGGGTTTCCTTCGCATTTGTGGTACAGAAAGTCATCCTAAACCGTGTCACTGTCCCTGGTTCAACTGTCCAAACTCTCCATCCGTGGTGAGGAGACGTGTATGCACCATTCTCTGAGAGCTCCGACCCAGACACTAGATGGCATCCAAGCGGGAGGGGAAAGACTCAGAATGTGTGTGTGTGTGTGTGTGTAAGTGACTGTGTGTGTGAGAGACGGGGAGAGGTAGGGGGATGAATTACGTCGGCGTGGGACAGCGGATGCACGGACGGGCTCGCTGATGGTACCCAGCTTGCAGATGGAGGAGAGCTGCAGAGAAGGGAAGCAACTGAGCGGCGGGGGGCGAGCTTAACGCAGAGACCAGCCGTGTGCCACCACAGCTGGACACATGAGTTACACACGAAACAGTTTGAAGTTGCAGTCCAGGTCATTGTAACCAGGTGGGGATAGGTTTGCAGAGGAGGGGGGAGAAAAGATGCACTGCGTCCGCGGCGACACCGGCGCGCTACTGGGGGACGGAGGCAGCCACGGCCGCGCGCAGACACCCCGCTTTTAGATGGCTCCAACATTTGGGGTGCAAAACAGGTGTCAGGGAAGTGTCGTCACGAACCCCGGAAGCCAGAGGAGGTGGGAACATCAGAGGGAAAGATGGCAGCGAAATCCGATGGTCGCGGGGTCGTTACCGGTTTCGCCCAGCTGCACAACCTGGACGAAGTGGTGGGCACGGGAGAGGACGACACTCGGGACGGCAGCTCGTTCCACATCTGCCACTGCTGCAACACCTCATCGTGCTACTGGGGCTGCCGGAGCGCCTGCCTGCATTACCTCCGGAGGAAGGGGAAGGGGAAAGATGCGGGGAGACCACCGCAGGAGGAGCGCCTCTGGCTGGACTGCCTGTGGATCATCCTGGCGCTGCTGGTGTTCTTCTGGGACGTGGGGACAGATCTGTGGCTGGCCGTCGACTATTACCACAAGCAGAACTACTTGTGGTCAGGCCTGACACTGTTCTTCGTGCTGGTGCCCTCGGTCCTGGTCCAGATCCTGAGCTTCAGGTGGTTTGTCCAAGATTACACAGGGGGCGGACTGGGCTCCGTGGAGGGGCTGAGCAGTCGTAGAGCCACGGCCAGTTTTCAGAGGGACAGGTGCTGCCGACTCTCTGTCTGGATCTGGCAGACAGTCATACACATCTTTCAGATGGGACAAGTGTGGAGGTAAGACCAACTTTGTGTTAAGCCTTTAAAGGAATCTGCGAAACTCATGAGGAGATCAGAGTTGTATGCTCTCTTCCAGACAGTCTGCGTCTCCTGACTGTCACCTGGTATAACCCGACCATGTACATGACAGGGGTGAAAATCACTACAGCGGGGATGCCATTACGCTTGCCTTCCAGTCGGCACTGTTGTTGTGTACGTCTACATTCCCGTTGAATCTTAAAGGCACATTTTACGACCGTTTAGGGTTTTTGTCCTCTTTCGGAAATAAACGTCTCTCTCCCATCAAGCAGCCACATCTGCGTAGGAATTGCGCCTATATGTCAGTGTTTTAGCACAGTGCGCCATTGCGCTTGTGTGGGGAGGGAAAAGAGCTGTTTGTTCAAAGAGCGGCAGGTAGTAGCCGATGTGTGTCTGTGTGTGAGTGTGTCTGTGTGTGTGTGTGTGTGTGTGTGTGTGTGTGTGTGTGTGTGTGTGTGT